AACACCAGCTGAGCCATCCTCGGGGGATAACGTCGTGGCTCCTGTTTGACCAACTTCATTCTCAATAACAATGTATCTAGCCATGATTTCTAAATAGAAAGGTGCGCCACGGAAGGGCTTTTGCTCTCTTTTTTCCGTGCTAAATACTCGGCATTCAGAAAAACTGTTAGCAAAGCGAAATCTATCAGCGCAATTAATATATCGTACCGTTATGTTTTTTTTTGTTTTCAATTACATTTCGTCCGTACCTTTCAATATCGAAGACGATGACTCAGTTCCTCGTTTAGTACAGCTTCGGCCTTGGCATGCTGCACCGTATTGTCCAGTTTGGGTCTGACCACCCCGTTATCCTGGAAATACTCAAGTATTTTAGGACATGCCTCCTTGGAAATATCAGGACACTCTCCGTTGCAGAAGGTTTCAAATTCGTCTCTCGCGTTGTTGTAGGCAGCAGTTGTAGACCCGTACATCATCTGCCTGATTGAAATTTCCACAGCATCTCGTTGGGTCCCGGAGAGATTGAACTTCGTTGCGTTGTTGTAGGCAGCAGTTGTAGACCCGTACATCATTTGCCGGATTGAAATTTCCACAGCATCTCGTTGGGTCTCGGAGAGATTGAACTTCGATCTATTCACGACCTTTTTCCAGTTCGCCGTTGTGTGAAATTGGCACAGCAGCACGGGCGCCTGGGGGAAACAATTTTTCCAACACCCTCCACTCTTTAAAGTCCTTATCGATAACAAAAGTCTCGATCTCTTGCCACTTCTTGTTCTTCCTCTTAAGAAATCTAGAATTGCCTCCATAGTCGTCATCCTTTCATCCAGCGCAATGAAGTCCAGAACTGAAACGCCGCGCCCCGTTGCACTTGTAACCAGGAGACTTCCTGCTTTTTACAAAAACAAAAACATGAGTTAAAGGTGCCGCTACAGAGATAAAGGTGCAACGTGGCGGGTAAAAGCAACTCAATTTAAAACGGCTTCTTACCGAGATGAAATCCCAAATTGTTTGTACCATACGTCCAATCCATGCAAAGGCTTTCACCCCAACGCTCAAAAGCTAGTTTCTGCACCGCAGTCTGGATCACAACTCCACTTGTCACATCATTTTGATCCCTGGGAACGAGAGTCTCGTGGTCGTCAAAACCCGCAAGTGTATCCAGCATACGGGATAGCTTGTTGTCCGCTGAAGTGCTTTTCAATACTCTGCGGACAATGTTGCGCGCTTGCTATGGTGCTACTTGGCGATCCAAGGCACCTGATAGAAACTCTTGTATCCGATGAGACTCAGTGTTGGCATCAGCAAGAAGCCCAACTTGCTCAAATACCAGACTATTTTCTGGAATTGATCCGGCACCAAAGTAGCTCGCGTAGATCGTCGCATTTGCGCGATGGTTGTGTGTCCAGGTCTGGGCAGTGATATTATGTTAGGTGATATTATGTTTCATCGTTGCGCATGCTAATGCTTACCCAGTTTCGTAAAACAACGCGCCAATCTTCATCCTGTCCTTCCTCTGCCATGTTCTTCACAGTAGCAGTAAAGCGAGCCTTGCATCCGGTGTATCGACTAGGAGTACTACGCTGACGTTTACTGCGAGATTTCTGCGGACAGCCATGAGTGCAGCTAAACACCTTGAAGCTGTGCTTCATCTTTAGAAGAACTTGAACACCGCTCAAATTACAAGCGTCATATCTACTCGTCAGTGTAAATTAAAATAACGTTATTAAAAAATAGACTCACGTATTGTGTTTCATCACGGTCCTAGTATCTCGGGCTCTGTACAACAAGAAATGATCGCGGCAGTATTCTTCAAAACGATCACTAAGCTCCTTCCACGACGAAAAAACAAGCATCGGCATCGGAGGAATCTTGTTCACAACGCCCACTCGAGACATCTCCATCGCCACTCGCTCTGGATACGATTCCGTGCGCCTAACTTGGGGTGTGCGGTCATGGTTGTGGTTCTGGACGTGCACATCCACGCCTTGGCCCTGGTCACCACAATGCCCTTCATCGCTTGATGGCAGAGACAAAGTATCCGCGACGCTTTCTCCGGCGCTACCACTAGTCTCCACGCAGGATCGACGTCTCCGACGTTTCTCCGGCCTTGTCACTCGCTGTGCCCGACTCTTTTTCCGCTTGGACGCTTGATTTCTTGGTCTATGATGTGCGCGAGGAGCTGAAACAAAGTTTACTCGCAATTAGTCACATCGCATGCAATGTCTTCAAATCTAGCGCATCGAGGGACGAGCCTCGCCCGTGGCGTCGTGCAGGAGTTGCATCTATTCGTAAAAATGATCGATAAAGTGAGGTTGGGTCAGAATTCTGCAAGCGCCAAATCAAGACTCATACCAATTTCGTCCAGAATGCCCTGCAAAGTGTCGCTCGAATCGCTCGCAGGCTCGAAGTCTTCGTCGCGGTCGTCGTCGTGGTCGTCGTCGCTGGAAGACGAGCTATGTTTGAATAGGTCGTCGAGATCGTTTATAAATGGCAACAACACGTGTCGGCAAACCTCAAATAAACCAAACAAGGTGCTTGATGTACGTATTGTCAGACATCGTTTGCGGAGTGCACTTCCAAGGGTCAGTTTCGCGCTGCAATCTTCTAGTGACGGGCGATTAACGTTCGCGGGAAAAGCGCGCGGAAACGTTCGCGCGATGGCTTCTGACGCGTGGCGCGTTTTCTCGAATGAGCTCCTAAAATCCAACGGCTACGATTTGTCGTAATAAGTTGAGCTTGTACTGAACGCGTCGGTTATTTTCGGCGAGCTTAAAATTTGACGGTAATTTTTACACACTCGAAAAATCAACGAAAACGTTAAGGGTGCTTTAACATTAAAACACCCTGTGTAAAGTTTTATTGAGCGGAGGTGTTCATTAAATGAATAATTTGCTAGGGATTTCTTGCTAGAGCTACGCGCATCTTTGCACACTAAAAAATAGACGGGATACCTGTAATATAATTACTCAGTTTTTAAGCATTTGCATCACCACACTTGAAGACGGTCATGGCTCTACGTTGTTCATCAAGAAAGACAACATTGTCATCGCCAGAGTTTCACTTTTTATCTCACAACTCGAATTAATTTATCAATTTCCAGATGTAAATATTGAAAAAAAAATCGAACTGGGTATTCCCTGTCCACAAACCGATATGGAATGCGTGAACGCTGTACCGGTACGTGGTCATCTTCATGCTCGCTGACCACCCGAATATAGGGGTCAAGTTAATGAAGTACCCTCGATCGAGTACCAGAGAACAGCTTGAGTAGAACTGCGGAGGGGCCGACGCAGCCATTGAACACAAGTTTTTCTCTGCTGCCACAGGAAGTTCCTCCTGTCAGGAATGAAGTTTGGTCATAGTGGACGCGGAGCGTTCGTGCTATATTTGTCAAGCTTCACGGTCTCGTCGTCTTCCTGGACTACCTTAACGGACTAGGTGAGATGGCGTTAGTTAAATCGTTAGATGGTAGCTACGCCTAGTGCGAGGTGCTCCATGAGGAATGAGGAATTTGGGGTTTGCGCTGAAGGGATCGAGGCGATCTATTTAAAGGCAATAGAGAACAGATAACTAAGGAGCAAGTATCCTAGTTTACGTTGGCGTGCTTTGAGAGTTCCAGCTCCCACATTGGTTAGTGTTTTTGTGTTCTCCCCAAGCTACTTCAGTCATAGTCAAGAGTCAAACGCACGGTGCTCCTCCGGATGATGCATCGAATTTAAGCCTGCTGCTGCTGTTAATGTTCTCTGACCGCTCACTGGTCTGTCAGGTGGTGGCTTCGGTCTGACCTCCGCGGATACAGATCTCACGAGCACGTACTTAGATGTCAACATGCAAGAGCAGACTCGCATGGAAACGTTGACAGATTCATTGAAGCGAGAAGAGCGACCACTGGGTTGCAGGACGAGAATATGGAGTTCTTCTCGGAAGTGGAGCAGGGGAGGTTGGTCCTAGGAGACACACTTATTCACATCGCTGTGAGACTCGGTTACGCAGATGTCCTAGACTTTATATTGCTCACCCATGACAGTAAAAAGGCCAGATACAGCAACGAGCACGATGAGTATTCCTGCTACAGGCCGCAATGCTGTTGCCACTAATTCAGTGGCGCCTCCTCCGCTACCACCACACACACCGCAACTTTAATGGTGATCTCATGCGAGATGTTACAGGCGAAAATTGCTCGTTTCAGTTGTTGCTTGCAACTGTTGACGATGTGCCCGAGGTGTTTGGATCGAGTTATCGTGACGAAGCAAAGTTCACTGTTTAGTGCGATCTCTGCGTCGTATCTGGCTGTTGTGAATGTTCGAAGGCTAACAAGAAGTCGCAGCACTGATTTCGAGTGTTGAACGATGTACGGACTTCAGACCAACTTTTGGTGGTCTTGTACGCCAATTTTCAAAGCAATAAAACAATTGCAAAAATTGTCTGACTATTAATACTACACAATTTATAAAAGCAATAATTGATTTGTTAAATAGGGGTTTGACCACGTACCGGTACAGCGTTCACGCATTCCAAATCGGTTTGCGGACAGGGAATACCCAGTTCGTTTTTTTTTCAATATTTACATCTGGAAATTGATAAATTAATTCGAGTTGGGAGATAAAAAGCGAAACTCTGGCGATGACATTGTTGACGCCATGCTCTTTCTTGATGAACAACGTAGAGCCACGACCGTCTTCAAGTGTGGTGATGCAAATGCCCAAAACTGAATAATTATATTACAGGTATCCCGTCTATTTTTGTGTGTGCGAAGATGCGCGTAGTTCTAGCAAGAAAACCCCAGCAAATACTTCATTTATTGAGCACCTCCGCTCAATAAAACTTTACACCGGTGTCCATAACTGAAAATAAATAATTAAAAAAAGTCAAACCTTACTTTATCATGGCATTGATCCGGTCGTTACAGATCGAAGTACTTGAAATTAAAGCAAAAACAATTTGATAAAATCACAAGGTTTGGAGCCTTGAGAAACGTCTTGACCAGGGGCACGTTTAAGGTACTAGAGTGGAGGGGCTTCAAAAGCGCGCACTTGAACATGTTTTTCTTCTGGACGGGTCCAACTCTTATCGAACTCCAACAAAACGTCGCGATCCTCAATGTGGCCCATCTTGAAGTTCAGATACTGAGACGGCTTGACCACAAAATAGATCACCACTTGTTTTATCTTCATTCTTGCCATATCCAGTTTGAGTAGCACTTCGTAAAAGAAGCGCATCTTGAAATCGTGCTTGTCTGATCGCGTGACTTGGATAAAGATGACCTTGCCTTTGTCCTTGTCAAAATGCACCGCATCGTAGCCTCCTTGGTTCCACGCCGTCGGCTGCAACCAACTCCGGTCGCCTTTTATTTGTCGATCTGATAGTACTTTAAATCGTTTCTTCGGATCGAAACGAAGAACATTTGCTTGAGGCAGAACGTCTCCGACTTCGTGGTCGCCGAATAGTTTCACCGCACGCTTTGGAACAGATGCCAAAAACAGCCACTCGAAGAGGTGGCCATCCACCGCAGGGTTGTTTGACCCATTAAGACGAGCCGCCAACTGCACAATGGTTTGCTCGTCACATTCTTCCGCAAAGAGAGAGGCCGCATACGAGCTCACGGGGAACCGAGCGTTACCATCGCCGTCAGGCTGCATCCCGTATAGCCTGTTGATTGCATCAGCGTGCAAATTGCCACCGCAGTATTTGACAAGATCTGACTTGTTCGCGGCAGATTGAACCCCAGTTTTCAGACAGCCCATCACTTCAATCGTAGGGTATTGAAACATGAACCGACATGATCCGCCAGCATAGTAGAACTTCAAATCAAGCGCATACTGCTTCTTGTCCTCCTCACTCCATTCTGCTTCAAAACCGTCGTCCTCATTCACTTCGTTGGGACTTGTTGCGTCCAACTTTGACGCGATCTTGTCATAAAAAGTCGGATCGGCAATGGCTGCGAGATAATCGTCTTGCGTCCAAGAATACATGAAAAACACGCGGGCGTCCTCCGCGTGAGCATCTTCCCTATTGAATTTACCAAGTGTGGCCATCGAGGAGCACACCAAAAGTCTCTCGTCCTCAACGAGACGCACATAAATTCGTCTCAAAAAAGCCTTGTGCTCGTCAACGGCTTTATACCCATCCACACAAATCAAGAGCTTTCTGCCGGGGACTCGAGGGAGCTCAAATGTCGTTAGGTCACCAATAAGCCAATATTTCTTGATTCCAAGTGCCAGACATGAGATACTAAGATATCCCAAATGAATCCAGACGACGTTCCATTCCTGGCGATCCAAAGAAGCCACAAAACTTAGCGTAGACACAGATTTGCCTGTGCCAGGTGGCCCAACAATGAATCCTCTTGCATTCTTAGCAATGACTTCATTTTTCACAAAGCCCCACAGATCGAGCACTTCACGGCGACAATACAGCATCAAGTCATCCGAGACTCTGTAGCCACACTTCTCGAGAAATGCAGCTGGCAGCGTCACATATTGCACCCCTTCGATTTTAATCTGAGGCACATCTTCGACCTTCTCAATTCGCGGCACACTTCCCGTATGTTGTCGTTTGTTTGGCAAAATATCAGCTGAGGATGGGAGTTCCACCAGCACATGAATCACTTCCTCTCCGAGGGCGAAATCTGGTCCAAACAGCCCCACCTTGTTGAGCTTCCATGACGGACGCATCTCCTTGTAATCATTGCTGATACTGCCTCGCAAGAATTTTTTCACATTACGGTCGTCCTTCAACCACGTGCCATCCGCTTTCCGCGCCAAATACAGCGTCAACACGGCTGGGAAAACCTCAACGCGGTTGCTGGCGACTCTGTATCTACTTACAATCTTCTCCTGCAGCGCCTCCACGTCTGCATTGTGATCGATGTCGACGGAGAAGACGCTCCCTTCGCCGTACACACCACAGCGAATATTCATCTTAGCGTGGAAAGTTCTCGAATGAGAAGCAACAAGCATTCATGCACCCACAGCGCCTTTTTAACCAATCCAATTACACCATCCCTGACTGCGGTACCGGCATTACATGTATTAGTATTGTGCCTTTCCAAAGTTTTGCTGGTCCTAAGCAAGGGTGGGTAGGGCTAAAGGTGGGATTTGAGGGTTGAATTGCTAAGCCAGGCCACTAAATAAAATGATTTTTTACCAATAACACTGTTTGATTTTGCCGACTATGATCCAATAATACTTGATTGTGGAGGCCCTACGTAAGGGCTCCGATTTGGTCTAAAGGGTACCTTTTAGCAAATTACGGGCTGAATGGCCAGTATTTGCCGGCCATTTACCGTATCCACAACAGATTGATTTTAAATCAAATATTGGGCTACTCATCAGACATACGCTGGCGAGGCAAGAGTATGTGAACAGGCTATTGCCTTTCTACAGCGGGCCAGATCAAATCGTGTTTGTCGATGAAACTTCAAAAGATGGAAGGTATTGTACAATATCAATTTTGTGATTGCTACATCTTACCTTGTTTATTTGTTGTATGGCATTGCTATGGTTTAGGTCCTCCCTGAGAAAACACGCGTGGTCCGGTCAAATATGTCTTTGATTGACATCGTCTTTTTTTTTCGTCAAAGGGTTAGGCTAAATTTTAGTCGGATGCACCCGATCAGATAGGAAGTCTATCGTAAGGTCCATCCTCCTACGTAGGACAATAAAACTGAGGGCGTTTTGGCAGAATAGCACAGTACCACTAGCCGAGAGCCGCCGCTTTGCGGCGGTAGTTTAGGTTTAATTATACCTGTTTTGGCCTTCCCGCCTCCGCTACGCTTCGGCCGGATAAGTATTACAAAACGCTAGGCCCCCTATGCGCCTCGATAAGTAATCTGGGTCAGCAACATGCTTAAGTAAGCTTCGTGTAATCGGCTGCCAGGTCGTAGCTCGTCGAGACACTCAGTCACTCTTACGTGGCGTCAATTACTTAGTGAGACTCTCAACGATTTCCGTATGTCGCGTTGCTTCCACCGCCGGTCTTGCCCTCGGCCAAGTGACAGTGTCCGGTGGCCACAGAGGTCGCCGCTCTACACACGCACCTACACTAACTTACACACGCACCGCAGCAACTTCTGAGTTCCTTGGTCTGGCAACTAGTGATGTTCCTCGGAGATCTATGCCAAGCCGCTCGATCGTTATCCCAGGGGCTTTTACACCAGGGGCTAACTCCACTACCCTATTCTTTTGGGGAAACTTCACGACGTTCCGGGCTGCTGATACCGACGACCCTACGGGGCTGCTTATACCCGTCTCTCTGTCACACTCCGATTTCCACCCTACTTATTCCGTCTCGTGACTCACTAACAACTGACTTGTTATTGCTTATCTCCTACAGGCACCAATACCGGCACCTTCTTCTTCTGCGTCTGCGCGAGCACTTGCCTGCTGCGCCGCAAATCTGGAACTGCCAGTCGCTCGCCTTGATCTCCATGCATGCGACACTTCGCCACCCCTTCATCCAGCAACCGCGACTTTTACCGAAAAGACCGCAGTGCAGGAACTTGTTCTGGGTACACCACCCAAAAGATCGTCCCCCAGTTGTTCGTACAGGGCTACTGACTTCTCGGGAGATCCCTCCCAGCTGCCTCACTTCGTCGCCCTCCTTTTGTTCGTTGGTACTCTCTGCTCTCTTGCTCGCTGTCCGTTGTCTCGCTCGTTCTCCTTCGTCATCGTGATCGTGGGTGACGTGAAGAGGCACCCAAGAGGATTTCAATCCTCTTACTCTTACCTGATTAAAAAAATTATTCTAATGATCCCGAATAAAGATTCTTACTTCACCCTCTTTATTATTGTTAGTTATCACTGTATTTTCAGCTTTCCCCCAAACCACCTGCACTTCAAATAACATTTATACAAACGCTGTGATGACTGGGGCAGTAGAGTGTTGGTCGCAGGATAGTGTAGGCCACTTGGAGAATGTAGATCTTGTAACTGTAGGTGCTGGTCTCGAGGCTTGGGGGGGGGGGTAGTTGGTATATTTAAGAGTGAATTCCTACTTCCAAATGCATGCCTTCATGTGCTCCTAGGCAAGCACAGGGGTTTCCTTCTCGTCTACTTGTTTTTGTATCCCTACCCTCGTGTCTTTTTGTTTTCTTCTTTTCTCTGTTTCCTTTGCTTTTCTTTTCTCTTATATGCATGTTTATTGGAACTAAATGTGCCGTCACTGTTGCTGTTGGCCTTGAATGCAACATTAGCAGCGACGTGCGGCCTCTGGCTGCGAGCATGCAAGCCGGAGGCGGGTATGACATCTCCCCCGGGCTGATCTCGCCTTGGCTGAATTTAAACCCTTCCAGGAGTTGACGCCAATGCGAAACGTGTTTGATATTCGCTTCGCGCTCCCAGGTTGCCTGATGTCTTAGCAACCCGTGCCACTACACGAGCCATTCTCGCTTGTGGCGTCTAGTCCTTCTCTTGATAAGACGTTCGATGATATAGAGCTCTTCTCCTGTCTCGTCGTCCAAGATTAACAGTACAGCTAATTGGGCGATTAAAAAACTCGGTAGTGTTTGTCTGACAATGAGACAATAACTCCACGTTGAACTTCGGATTGGGTCTCTTCATTGACAAAGGCAGTTTTAGCTTTGCCACGCTGTCGTTTATCATACGTTCAATCTCGAACGGACCGACTTTCTTCGCAGTTAAATCTGCCTTCTTTAGCTCCGTGTTCTTGTTGACGGTCTTGAGTGGTAAGGTCTTCGAATCAAGTAACACTATTTTGTACTCGTCACAAGTCCTTGGACAAGAATGTAGCCATCTGTTATGAGGATTCAACAACCCAAATCCTATAGCAACAGTTAGATATAAGGGGTAAACTCGGGCGTAGATTTCAAAACTGTGGTCAGAATTAGCTGATTCGCAGTCGTTTTTGCGCTACAAGACTATTTTAAAACTCTTTCCAGATGCCCCAGGTTTACGGGAAACTGGTTGCCTTTGAGGCGGTCATTTGATTGGGCAATTCCCATAACCACATGGATTTGCGCAAGAAAGTACAAGAAAGTACACAACTGAACAGAAGCAAATCCGATTACGATTGTAACGATTTGAGTGAACAAATATTTATTTAAACAGGCCCCTTATCCTAGGTCGTAATCACGCCTACTTCCGCGTTGAGTTCATATATAAAATAATAGAGGTTAATGTTAATTAGCTGATAAGGAACATGCACCTCTAAATTGCTGATGTGCACCTCAAACTTGGTCTCATTGTCGGCGCTGTAGGTGCTCGTCACAGTCGTAACAGTGCCGTGTGCTATCTGTAGACACTCAGCAACCAGATCCCGGGTTCGCTGCCCTCTAAAAAAGGCTATCTTCCTTGGCTTTGGACATAAAGTCAAAGCACCGTACTACGTAATCCTTCTGGCCTGGCGTCAGCTCTTGCTGCGAGGTGCTTGGCTCGGACATGCTAGAAAGGACGCGAATAGCTCACTAGATGCACGAGATGCTAAGGAACATTTACGTACTCTCCTTGTTCTATTTTGGTGCTAACTCGTAGAGTTTCGCCGATTCAAATGGCATGTTAAAATAATCTGGTCCAACGTTCAATGACGAGTACAATAGGTCACTTTCTTTGAACACCACTTGTCTGCGCTTGCGATCGTAATACTCTTTCTGTCTGTCTTGTGCTTCTTTCAAATTCTTCTGGACACGTTCTACGATCTCCTGTCGTTCCTTAGCAAAGTTCTTTGCGAACTCAGCGAGTGTAACGTCGTCTTCTTTACGCAACAGATCCTTCATCTCTTCTGCCACCACGTTACATGTAGAAACCTTGCGGCCTGTGTCGACTTCAAATGGATCCAATTTAGTCGCGTTTACCAATGTTGAATGAACATACTCAATTGTTCCGAGATGCTTCACACAATCATCTCCATGATACGACACCATGCATCTCAGTTCATCTTCGAGAACTAGGTTCTGACGCTCTGTCTGACCATCAGCTTGAGCTCGATGAGCCGTAGTCATACTCAGTTTGACACCCATCAGCGTCATTAGTGACTTCCAAAAGTCCGAATTAAACTTTGGATCTCGATCACCAATAGTCACTTGCGGTAAACCATGGTGCCTGACTACAGCATTAAAGAATACTTCAGCTGTGTCTTTCGCATCAGCAGTCATATAGGTCGGTGCATACTTCGGACGCTTAGACAACTTGTCTACAGCAGTGAAAGTAGCATCGTACCCTTCTGACGCTGGTAAACCCGCAATAAAGCCCATGGACACCACTTCCCAACATTCAAATGGTGCTGAAATTGGTATCAGCAGACCCTTCTTTCTCTGACTGCTGGACTTCCATCTTGCGCACGTTTCACAACTACGCACATACTCTCTGATATCTTGATCCATCGTTGGCCAATAGCACCACTGTGCTGCTTTTAGATACGTCAGTCTGCTTCCCGGATGCGCGGATGTTTTGCCATCGTGGAACTCTGTTATGACATCCGTGCGAAGCTTCTTGGACTTGGGCACACACAATCTGTAGACAGATTCTCCTTGCTTCTGTTTGAGGAACAGAAGACCATTATGCTTTACGAACTTTTCGTTGTCTGTCCCCTTCGACCACTGATGCTTGAATACAGGGTCGGACTCGTAGCCTTGTTGAAACTCTTTCTTCGTCTCTGATCCCAAGTGAGATGAGCCGAAATGGTAATCGACGGTGTTGATTTGCTGCTGCGGTACACCAATAGGACGACTCTCCCCCTGCAAATCGACATCGTCGAGTAACATGTGTAAACCATCGGCTGATAGATGACGGATCATTGATGCTTGAACCATATGATCATGAGTCTGTGATGCCATCTTGGCACATTCTTCATCACAGTCATGGATTGCATAGGTCACCTCCGGTAACGGCGGTTCTTTATCCTCTTCCGTATCCAGTCCATCCGGTGGAGGACGAGATGGTGTATCTGCAACTACATTCGCTTTTCCCCTAACA